GCCCTACGGAGCCCACCCGGGCCGCCTGCCCCCGGGGCTGACCCCATCTCCCAGGGCTTGCTCCGTCCCCAGGCGCTCCTCCCCGCCCCCGGGAGCGCACCCCCATCCCGGGAGCTGCACCCCATCCCCGGGAGCCTACCCCGTCCTAAATGAGCCTACTCCATCCCCCGGGGGTTCACCCCGTCAGGGGGCAGCCCCGCAACCTCCCCCTTACCGCATCCCCAAAGCTTTCCCAGCCGGTCGGGCAGGCCGGAGCGTGGCACCGGGGGATCCGCGGGGACGGTGCCCCGGGGCAGGTCAGTGTCCTGGAACCTTTAGAGGAACGGTGCAGAAATGCGTCCTTTGGGATTTGTGAGCTTTTCCAAGACACAGGATGGATCGTTGGGGTTTTCTGGCCTGCCATATCTCAAGGAGAAGGTGGATGAGGGGAGAGCTCATCCCTCTCTGCAGCTCCTGACAGGACATTGCAGAGAGGCGGGCGCTGGGCTCTGCTCCCAGGGGATCAGGGACAGGACAAGAGGGAACGGCTGGAAACTGCAACAGGGGAGGGTCACACTGGGCATGAGGGAAAAATGTTTCCCAGAGTGGTCAGAGAGTGGAACAGGCTGCCCAGGGAGGGGGGAGTCCCCATCCCTGGGGGTGTTTAAGGGCCGTTTGGATGAGCTGTGGGGGGATGTGGGGTAGGGGAGAACTTTGTAGAGTGGGACTGAGGGTTGGACTCGATGATCCCGAGGGGCTTTTCCAACCTGAAGGATTCTGTGTTTCTATAAGCCACAGCAGAGCAGGTTGGGGCAACCTGTGGATTTGGGGGGATGACTGCAAGCCCCCCCCTCCCATTTCTGTTTTGTGCTGGCTGGCTCTTGTTCCGGGTGTGATACGTGATTTTCTGATCTCAGCAGAAAAGGTGCGATAAAGCAAAAGCCATTTCCTCTCTGCTGGGGCAGGTGGGCGGCTGCACGGTGCGGGAGGCAGAGCTCCTCATGCCGGGACGGGAGATTTTGGCACGCTGCAGCCCGGGAGTTTTCCGGGAGGAGAGAAACAGGTTGTGCTGCATCACAACGCAGGTCTGAGCGCAGCCCTTGGCTGATAAGGAAACCCCACTCTGGTCGGGGAAGCTGGTTGTGCAGCAAAACGTCTTTTTCTTTTAACACCAGCAGCCTCGGTGCCATTTCCGCATGGGCCAGGGCGCACGCTGGCAGCCTTTGCCCTCTCGGTGCCCAGCGGAGGGAGGGGTGAAAATCCACACCACCGGCAGCCGTTTTCCATCCAGGAGCTGCCTGAGCACCCCCGGCCCACCTGGCTCCTTCCCCTCCTCGCAGGGGATGCTCCTGCTGCTGGGGAGGCCACGGGTAGTCCAAGAACTGGGATGTAGTCTCAGGGAATTGCTTTGCTTGGGAGCCGTGGTTTGGGGAAAACCCTCGAGTATCTCATTTGCAATCAGCAGTTCCCAGGACTGAGGACATCTGGCAGGGAGAGGTTGGGATTCATCTTGTTGAAGCCTTTGAAGGTGCTCAGACAAGATCTGTGCTGTTTGTTTGTTGTTTTTTCCCCCTAAGGGAATAAAATTAACTGCTATAAAAGCATCCCCCAGTCTTCCCCACTTGGACTACGCAACTCCAGGAGAGTTGTTGGCCAAAGCTCTTGTGACAGCAGCTTGTGTCCCTGGGACACGCAAAGACTGCAAATCCTGACAGCTTGGGGGAGTGCTGGGGCCTCTGATGCCACATTAAACCCATCCAACGCTGCACGATGGTGCGTGGCCCCGTACATGCCCAGAGCTCATCTTCCAGCCCAGGGATGGGGTATTGCAGCCTCGGAGGGATCTGGGCTCTCTCTGCCAGCGAGGGCTTTGCAAGCAGACCCTGCGCAGGGGAGTGCTGCCGGGTGACACGGCCCTTTCGGCAGGGCTGGCCGTGCCGGGTCACGCGTTGGGCAGGCGCGTGGGTCGGTTTGCGGGAGGCAGCCCCGCAGCCCGGCAGGACCAGCCTCCACGGAGCAGCGGGTTTTACTCGGCTGTTTGAAAACCCTGTGGAAAAGATGCAAATCCAGCCTTTGCTTGAGAGCGTGTCTTGTATTCTCTGAAATGCAGGAGGGGACTGGATAGGCAGGATTTAACCGGATTTGCACCTTAGTCTAACAATCTGTGATGGGAAAACAACCATCACCAGCATCCAGCGAGGACAGGGGATGCCAGCAGCCCTTCCCACCACACAGCCCGATCCCCTGGGGTCCCAGCAAGAACCTCCTGCCCCGGCCCCGTAGGTGAGATTGGACCACTGAAGCTGTTGCTGGAGCATCCCAAGGAGGAGCAGGAGAAGCAAAGAGCATCCTGTTGACTGTTTTTCCCTGGCCAGGAGCACCTTGCTGGGCTGTCACACAGGTGATCCCCACCGAAGACTAACCAGACGTGTTTGCAGCCAGGTCTCATCCTCGGGATACTCCTGGGCTTCCCGCTGCTGTGAAGGAACCTCTTTGGGATGAATTTCACCCTGACAAGAGGAAGGATTTTGCATGTGGAGGTGGAGCAGCCTCAAGGTGTATCTGGGGGTGGCTTCATGCATCTCCCCACCCCGAGCTGGGAAGGGCATTTCTGGTCCCTGGGAAGGGACATCCCATGGTGGGTCTGTGAGTGTCACCTTCTGGGATGAGCTTTCTGCTCCTGTCAGCTCGTGATGATCTGGAGTGAAGGCTGGAAAGGTGTTTCCAGACTAAAGGTGGCAGCTTCAGAGCTGGAGGGTTGCATGGGATGGGGTGTCCACCAGCACTGGTTTCGAAGGAGGGTGTCATGCACGGGGGAGAAGCAGCCGGCCACAGCCACGTGCTGCCCTGCCGAGCTGCAGCACAAAAGAGCCCAGGGCCAAACTCCAGGATGTCGTCACAAATTGCAAGAGTCAGTTATTTCATCCAGACAAACTTTTATTTTCCTGCCTGTTATTCCTAGGAGCTCCCCGCCGTAATCAGAGCCAAGACCAAGCCTGGGACAGTTTTGGTGCCAGGAACCAGGGAATTAGTCACAAGCAGCTGCTGGGAGAGGGAAGACCTGTGGCATGGCCTGGCCAGAGCCTCCAGCTGGCATTTACCTCCACTCCTTCCCAGCCCTCAGATCTCACTGCCCCAACACGATCCTCCCAGGGCCACTGGAGATGTCGGCTTGGGCTCTCTTCACTCTTATTTCTAGTTTGTTGGGTTGTGACAGCTGACACTTCCCAGCTGTCCTCCCCAACCGGCCGAACAAGAACTGGGATGTAGTCTCAGGGAATTGCTTTGCTTGGGAGCCGTGGTTTGGGGAGAACCCTCGAGTATCTCATTTGCAATCAGCAGTTCCCAGGACTGAGGACATCTGGCAGGGAAAGGTTGGGATTCATCTTGTTGAAGCCTTTGAAGGTGCTCAAACAAGATCTGTGCTGTTTGTTTGCTGTTTTTTTCCCCTAAGGGAATAAAATTGACTGCTATAGAAGCATTCCCACACCTTCTCACAGATGCTTTCTGCAGAGACCATCTATTCACCACCATCCCATGTGCTGGTTTTGCTCTGGGCATCCCTCTGCCCTCCCTGGGATGGGCCAAAGGGGGGCTGGGGGTGTCTGATGGCACTTTGATTTTATCCAAAAGACTCATCAAAGCCATTTCTCTTTCCTTACTGTGCCCTGTGCCCACATGTCTCCAGCTGTTCACTGTCAGGGACCAAAACACCCTGTGCACCAGGTCCTGGTTCCCTCCAGCCACTTTGTCCATCCATGTGTAGCTCTGCATCGCCTCTCCTGCCATCAGGATGCCTCCTGACCTTTCATTTCACCCTGCTCTGTTTTCCTGGGGGATTTTTTGGCTACAGGAGGAAAAGAGGAGGCCTCTCTTGCAGAAAATAACCCCACACGGGTGCCACAGGGGAAGCCTGGAGAGCGAAGCTCCATCCTCTATTCTGCTGGACAGTTTTTCTTTGAGTACCTGGTGGTGGTGTCGCTGAAGAAGATGTCAGATGGACATTACGAACCCAAGATAACCTACCAGTTCCCAAAGGTATTTACTCCTGTGTTCCTGGGAAGAATATTCAAAATTTAGAGGAAAAGGGGATGTTGGTCCTTCCCCTTCACTAGAGGTGGGAGAAAACAGAAAAATACCCTGTGCCCTGGAGTCACAGACCCAAACCCCGGGGCTTTGCCTGTCATGGGTTGGAGTTGCTGAGCCCATCTGTCCCTCCCTGTGAACCAAGCTCTGGGCCACAAACTCCAGGTGGAAAATCCCAGGGTGGCCCCTTGTATCCTGTCCCAGAAGGGGAAACCACAGCAGCAAAATCACACCATGGGGAGGTGGCACAGGAGAAGATCCCCTCTTTGCAGAGGGGGCCCTGGGGGCCTCTGCTTTGCCCCACTATCTGTGGGGTAAAAGAGTCAAAAATTGGATTTTTGGGAGATGATTGTCCAGGGATGTGCAGGCACTCTCTGCTTTGGTCTGAGCTGGGGGTTGCTTTGGTACACACCCCATCCCCTGGGGCTATGGGCCCCCTCATCACTCTGACTCTTGTCATCACTTCGTTCCAGCGTGAGAACTTGCTGAAGGGCCAGAAGGAGGAGGAGGAACGTCTCCTGCAAGCCATCCCTCTCTTCTGCTTCCCTGACGGCAACAACTGGGCCCCGGTCACTGAGTTTACCAGGTACCTGCCCCTCTGTGGGGTCTCAGCTGTGGTTTCCCTCCCTGTGCTGTTGTACCCGAGGGCTGCGGGCTGGAAGAGCCGTCCCATCCCCATGCGTTGTCTTTCCTTGCAGTGAAACCTTCTCTTTCGTCCTGACCAACGTGGATGGCAGCAGGAAGATCGGCTACTGCAGGCGGCTGCTGGTGAGCACCCCACAGCCTGTACACCCATCGCTGGGTCGGTGGTGGCCATGCCACCGCATCCCCGTGGTGGGACATGGTGCCTTCTGCCATGCCTGAAACACAGCTGCTGGGCAGGTGCCTTAGAAAGCCACTCGCCTTGACAAGATGATGACAAGCAGCAGTGGGGTGCCCAAAAGGATTCCTCTGGATCTTTCTTCTGCTAGAGCATCACTTGGGTACTGGGTGGAGGAAAACAGCATTTGCTGTAGCCCAGGGCTGGCCTGAAATGCGACCAGGAGATGTGACGGTTGGGAGGTGCCATTCCCTGTACCTGTGGTCGCTGCCTCCCCACTGATCTGCAGCTTCCCTGGCTCCTTTCCCTTGGCCCAGCAGTCAGGATGGTTGCAAATCCCACTCGGGATCAGGGTGCAGATGCACATGCACCCATCTAGATGTCAAGGAGCCAGGAGCCCTCAGCCCCGTTCCCCAAAACCTGCATTTGAGCAGTGGCTGCCTTTCTCAGCTCATGGATTTGGCCAGCTCGGGGGCTGTGAGGCGCAGGGGAGGTCTTCCTTGGCTGCTGATTTACACATAGACTGCTTAAACGGGGACGTAAAGCCACGGGGCCATATGCCACGGCTTAATGACTTGCTGGATCCCATCACCCTTTCATTCTCGGGCAAACCTGCCCACTTCTGCATCTAGGGCTGAGCTGTGGCTGTTTGAACTGCATGTCCGGAGGGCTGAAAGCACAGAGAGCAAACAGACCCAGGATAATCCAGTTGGAAAAGGAAAACAGCCTAGACACTCATCCCCCGGGTCCCTGGTTCAGTGGGAGGCAGGATTAGCCCCGAGGGTGGTGGGGTAGGAGGTCTCAAAGGACACATGTCTGGAAACAAGGAAAGTTTGGGAATATACCGAAAGGATTTGCACCAAAACATTTAACAACTTTGGCATCTGAATTGCCCTCTCCTGGTCCTGGGCAGCCTCTGCTTTTACAACACCAACTGCATCCTTGGCCTGAGCCCCAGCTCTGAAAATCCCCCAGTGGGTGATTGGGCATTTTGGGCCAGGGGGGTGAGCAGGGCCGGGGGGGGTCTCTGGGGAGAGCACAGAGCTGGTGCGGTGGGGCTGGGAGATGCTCACACCCTTTTCCCATCCTCTTCCAGCCGTCCGGCCGTGGTGTCCGCCTCCCTGAAGTCTTCTGCATCATCAGCTGCCTGGGCTGCTTCGGGCTCTTCTCCAAGGTAGGGGTGTGGTGGCTCCGTCTGGCTCGTGGTGGCCCAGGCAGCCGCTCTGTTGCCCGCCGGGGTTTCACAGCTCCCTTTTTTTCTCCCTCAGATCCTGGACGAGGTGGAGAAGAGACGCCAGATCTCCATGGCAGTGATTTACCCATTCATGCAGGGCCTTCGGGAATCACCCTTCCCAGCACCAGGGAAAACTGTCACCATTAAAAGCTTCATCCCTGAGTCAGGCACAGAGGTTAGTGGGGGTCTCAGGGGCTCAGCAGCCGTTCCTGGACTGCTCCAGCATGGGGAGCCTGGGCCATCTCTGGGAGTGTCCTCCACACCTGCAGCACCCATGGGTGCTCGCTGGAGCAGTGGGTGGTAGGTTGCGCTGCCAGAGGCCTCATGCCCTGGGGAAATGGGTGCCACTTCCCTCCTGGTCCAGCAAGCAGTGCGGATGAGGACAGAGCCCATCCACAGGCGATGCTGCCCCACCTTTGCATCCTTGCGAAGCAGCATCGTTGCAGCTCCATCAGCCTCGAGCTGGAGCTGCCAGCACAAAACCACCAGCACAAAACCTCCCCGGTTGCCATTTCTTAACACGTCGGTGCTTGCACAGCCTTTACGCCAGGGCGGTGCATCACATCAGGGGCCGCGGAGTGGGGCTGGCTGCACCCCACTTGTGAGCCGGCGTTCGCACCCCTGGGTGCAGCGTGCAGGGCTGTTGGGGTGCACAGTGGTGCTGGGGCTGTGTGGGGTGTTGCAGGCTGCAGCCTCCCCTCTGCACCGCGGCGCTCAGCTCTCAGCCTCGACACCCGCCCCAGTTTAGCATCACGGGCAGGCAGCCACCACGGCGCAGGCATGCGGCAGAGCCCGGCCTTTACCTGTGGAAAGATCTGATAGAGGCACGGTGCCCGTGGGGCTCATCTCGCCCACGCACAGCTCCGGCTCGCACAGGCAGAGCCTTTTCTTTTGCGTTTTTCTTTCTCTTGTGGCAAAGCTGTGTTGGAAAAAGGCGATCTGCCTTGGTACCGGGCAAAATAACCTCAGTGCTGAGCATCCCAGGGACATGTCCTGCCAGGGCGGGTCTGAGAGCAAGATCCCTTCTCTCTAGTGCAAGTTAGCAGCTGGCTATCAAATTGCAAGAGATTTCTTCATCCAGGAAGGCTTGTGCAAGGGCTGTGCAGGTTGCTCAATGCTCTGGCCACGGGCCAGGCTGCAGGGAGCGCAGCTGGGGTGACGGGGAAGGAGGGTGTATGAAGATGTTCTTCGAAAGTGCTGTGCTTTGGGGCTCCAGGCAGGGGCTGGAGCAAGTTGAAGAGATCAGGGAGAGAACAGGGAAAGGGGTGAAAATAAATCCTGGGTGCCACATGAGCTGGGGATCGCGCAGGATTTGTGCTGGTAAAGGGCTGTGGAGCCCAGCCAAGCCCTGTGCTGGCTGGGAAGATGCTGCTTTGCTGGAAAGGCGGTCTGGCACAGAGAGGAGGGGGATTTTCTCCCCTGTAAAGCTGGGGAGAGGGGCCAGGACTGTGTCATGAGCTGCACGGTCTGGTTAACCCTTCAGTGGTCACCACCTCGGGGCTGCCTGCAGCGGGGCAGAGGTATCATCAACCGGCTTGGGAGACTCTTGTCTGGGGCAAAGCCAGCAGAATAGACAGAACACCTGCAAATATCCATTAGGTAATTCACTTTTGGGCTGTCCTAGCAAGGACGAGGCAAGCTGACCCTCCTGGAAAGGTTTTGAGGAAGTTTTTGTGTTTTTTATAGCAGAAGTCAGGCTCTCCTCCCTCTCCTGGGGCACATTTGCCATCGCTGCTCGCAGATGGGCTGTCAGCTGCTGAGGTGGGGGCACGTCCTCCTTGTGAGTGCTGGAGGAAACAGGCATTTTGGTTAAAAACCCAGTGCCCCAGTAAATAAACCTCACAGTGCACATTGTCACTGGCTTCCCCTTCATCCTAAGCGTGGCACAGCCCACATCTACAGGAAGGACAAGATGAGCTTTTCCCCTTGCAGAGGGATGTGATCAAGATGCTGCAAATGCTGGGTCATTAAATGCTCCCAAATCCGGGGTCAGGGTGGCACAGGGGGGAGCGTTGCACCTCCTAAGCCGGGGTTTAGTGGCTCTCCCTCTGCAGATCATCGAGCTCACACGGCCCGTGGATGCCCACCTGGAGCACGTGGAGTTTCAGGCTCTGCTCCAGCGGCTCAGCCCCCACCTCATCCTGCACATCTTCGCCTCTGCCGTGTTGGAGCGACGGCTCATTTTCCTGGCAGAGGAGCTGAGGTGAGTCCTGATCTGTTTATTTTAACATAAAATAAAAAAAACCACCCTTGAAGGAGCGCAGGATGTAGCTGAGCTCGGGGCGGGGTGTTGCCTCTGAGCAGTGAAGTTCCCTTTCCTCATGCAATGCCACCACAATGGCTCCTTGTCCTGCAGCGTCCTGTCGCAGTGCATCCACGCAGTGGCTGCTCTCCTCTACCCCTTCACCTGGGCTCACACTTACATCCCCGTGGTCCCTGAGTGCCTGCTCGACACTGTCTGCTGCCCCACACCCTTCATGGTCGGCATCCAGATGCGGCACTTGGAGCGGGTCCTGGACCAGCCAATGGAGGAGGTATTTCATCTGGCGGGAGGGGAAGCATCTGCACGGAGCCATTGGTTAGTTTGCGACCCTGGGTTTGGGTTGGCTCTGGGGCTGGAGGATCTGATTGTGCCATTTTCCAGTCCAAGGAGGCTGAAGATTGGGGCTTCTTGCACATCCCCTCCTCTTGGCACCTGGGGCAACACCTCCATATCCCCCTGGGTGCTGCCGGCCACCCCAGGACCTGCAGCCCTGACCCTGGGGGCTCAGGGAGCTGCTGTTGGCCAGGCTGGCTCTTGGCATCATCTCAACCTTGCAGAAGCGGAGTAGAGCTGCGTGGAGACAAGACCAAGCCTGCAGCAATTATAGTCCCTGGGGGGATGCTCTGGTCTCCCCACCCAGGTCCCTCCAGCACAGAGGCACTGACCCCTCTCCTGCCATGTGGACACATCTGATCCCAAAACAGGTGTGAGGAATCCTGGATGCCTTGGTAGGGCTAAACCTGGACACTCTCTGCTCTCTTTCAGGCTCTGATAGTTGACCTCTGCGAAGGAAAGATCCTCCGGGCGGTAGGTCCCCCTGTGCAGGACATGGGGCTGGGTCGGGGGGGGCTTACCTGGCCTGGGTAGCCCCGGGAAGGGCCCCTTTCCCCTCGGTGCTGGCTACCTGGCAGCTTTCCCATTTTGGGGGCAGAGTCATCTCAGTGTCAGCCATCCAGGGGGAGTGTCCCATGAAGGGATGTCTCCAGCCACTGCATCCATCCTGTCGTGATGTGTTGGGCATCCCACTCCCATAATCACTGCAGCACCCTGCAATGATAATTAATTAATGAGCTCCGCAGAAAGCTCCCCACTGATGGGCTTCATTAACTGCTACCCGCAGCCATCTGAGCTGGGTTCCCGCCAGTGCTGGGTGCTTCATGGCCCTCTTGCCTTCCAGGTCGGCGATGAGGAGGAGATCTTGCCCATCAAGCTGCAGAACGAGATGCTGACGTCTCTGAACAGGCACAACAACAACAACAACGTACACAGTAAGGGCGTCTCTTTACACACAGTAAAACACACACAAGCTGCCCTCTGCAGATGGCCAGAGTCCTCAGTGAAACGACTTTCCTAAAGGGTCCTGGCCTGCGATGTTTCTGCCCCAATTTGCCACAAAATGCAGCCACAGGAGGCAAATGCCTTGGCCTTTCCCCTGTCCTGTGAAACACAAGAGCAGGAGCAACTAATTCTGCTGAAAAAAAATCAGCTTTTGCCAATATTTGGCCCATAAAGATGCTGCCACCCTGGAAGCCGACACATCCAGTGCTCCTTCAGCCAAACTAGTCTGAGCTTTGTTTACTGGCGGAGGGAGGTTTTAAGCAAATAATTTCTGGGGAGGCAAACACAGACTGCAGAGCGGCCAGGTTAAAATAAGACCTTTCTATGTTCAGAGGTCCCATCCCCACCTCTTGTGCTCCGTGTCCTCTTCCAGCATCCGAGCAGGTGAACACGCTCGTCTCTGAAACCTTCGTGCAATTCTTCGTCCGAATGGTTGGCCATTACGCCTCGCACATCAAATGGAGTAAAAACAGCTCAGGCACCTTCCAGGAGCGAGCCTTCTGCAAAGCCATCACCTCCAAGACCAACCGCAAATTTGTGAAAAAGTTTGTGAAGACGAATATGTTTTCCCTATTTATTGAGGAAGCAGAAAAGAGCAGAATCCCACAGGAAGGTAAACGGCCCCATCTCTCCTTCCCTCTCCGGCCGGGTGCGCTCTGGAAAGTCCCGGGCTATTTGGTTAAGGGAAGGAGATGCTCTGTGCCCAGGGAGGGATGCAGCTCGAGGCTGAGGATGCTCAGGACAGCGAGTAGCACCCATTTGCTCTCAACAGCTGCATTTCTCTGTTCCTGTCAAACAATCAAAAAAAATCCCTGGGCTCATTTTAGATCTTGTCGCTTCACTGGGGCCAGGGCAGGCTGACTGAGAGCCCAGTGTCTAGGCAAACATGCCACTAGCAGCACGAATATTTGGCTCGGATGGAGGCAGAGCTGGGAGCTGGCTCCTGGCTGTGCTGCCTGCAAGCCCTGACTCATCTCTGCTGCCAGCTGTGGTGGCTGGGTTGGTCCTTCCCCCTTCCCAGGAATTTACAGGGCATTGGGCTGAACTGAGCCTCCTCCCAGCCCAGGACGAGGACAAACAGGAGCAATGGAGGTTGAGGAAGCCACCCTAAACATCTGCTGGTGGTCAGGGTCATCCTGGCCCGGGAGTTGCTGCCCTCAAGGTCTTGCTGCACTCAGAGAGTGCTATCACTGCTATCAGTGACTGCCGTGTCAGAGCAAGGCAAACACCCCCTCGGACGGTCCCACGCGGCAGCGAGTGGCTGATGGTGCCTGTGGTGGGTCCCTCTTTGGCCCCTCTGCAGCCTGCCCGGGGAATCAGGGCCCGGCACTGCCTTGGCTTTCTCTGCCCTTTTAAGTCAGACTTGATAGAGCAGGCATGGACCTGGGTCTGCCTGGGGTTGGGAGAGAGGGATGGCACAATCCCAACTTTCTCATTACATTCCCAGCCTACTTCACCCTTCTGGCTATTGGCATTCCCAGGGTCTCCCACTTTCTCCCTTCCTTGCTGGTTGCAGAGGAAACACCAAAACCAAACAGGAGTGAACATGTGGGTTAAAAACTTACACTAACCCAGCACAGTGAAGCCGGTTTTGGGTGAGTGAGAGGGATGGGTGGAATTGCAACAACCCCAACTTCACCTGGGTCCTCACTTGGGTGCAGTTGGCCGTAACCCAGCACGATTCAGCTCCTGGGGCAGCCCTGTATCCTCCCCAGCTCAAACCCTTCCGTTGCACTAACAACCTTTTCTCATCCACAGCGTATTTCCAGCAGAAAATAACAGAGTACCACGAACAGAAGAAGCACCGAAGGGACTCCTGAAGTCCAGCCTGGGAGCACAGGAGCAGGGCTGGGACCGAGCAGGTCTCCCCACCAGCACCACGTGGCACAGACTCGCCGTGTGCCCTAAGTCCACTGGCAGAACACGCCGGACTCCGCTGGATCTGTCCACCGGTTCCTGCCCATGTGTGACTCATGAGATGTGTGGGCAGCACCCAACACCAGTTTCTACCCTTTCTTTTTTTTCCTCAGGGCATCATTGCACTGAAAAACTCTTTAGCACAGAGCTAGCAAAGCAGGCTGGGGTTTCTTTTCTGATCTTGCTAGCAGTCCGGATGAACTGTGGCTCAAAGTGCCCTGCACAGAGTCTTTGGCCCCACCAGGACCTGACACAGCAAGGGAGGGAAGTCAGGGAGCTGGCTGCAGGACAACAAAGGTTGTAGAGTAATTGTTAGAGAGAGAAAAAAAAAAAAAAGAAGAAAAAAACACAACAAAAAAAAAGATGAGTAGGAAATAGTGTTATTTCTAATTAAAACAAACCTAGGTTTTGCAAACAAGTAACATCCTATTGAGTAGGTTTCCAAGGTTGCTGTTATTAACAAATGTTTTGGTTTGTTTTTTATCAGGATCTGCTCATTGTTAAATACCAGCAGGAACAGTCGTGCTGGATTTTAGCGGTTTCCTCTGTAGCAGCTGTCTGCTTCATTGGTACCACTTAGAGCCCAGTTTAGCTCTTAAAAGAAACAAAAATATTCTTCTCCAACAGGTTATTTATTTGTGCTGTAAGCAAACTGTGAAGGCCACAGGGCTGTGTTTTGTAGTAGAGGGAAATGGCTGATCAGCTGCTTTGGGTAGGAAGTATTTGTTAAATCCAGCAGTAAAACATGTCGACGTCCTCCTCGCTCCTGGTTCTGATGTCAACTTCTTTTAAAACCTTGCAGTTCACTGAAGCCCTATCTCTGTAATGTGATGCCTGCAGCAGAGTTAAAGCTAAATTATGATTCTCCCCCTTTCCTAATGCACTTACCTAGGGAATAAATATTGCAGCAGGGGAAGCTGGTGCTGGCTCCAGGTCTGCCTGGTTCTTTCCCAGACAAACCAGGGCAGATGCTTCTCCCAGCGAGGGCTGGGGTCGAAGGGAGCTTCTTCATCCTCTCTGGGATGTTATAGCCAAGCTGCCACATCACTGGGTACCCACTAGACATGTGCACACATGCGAGTGTTAACAAAAATATAGTTTAATACAACTTTTGCAGTAGTATTGAATGCCAGGGTAAGAGATTTTACATAAACACTAAAAAGTCAGCAGGCTGACTGCCCGCTTTTGCTTTCAGAGCTGTTGAACATCTAATGAAAATGAGACAGATGTGAAAGGCACTTATTTTAGAAGTAACTATTTGTGCAGTCACGCGCAAATGTGACAGAAACTCAGCTGGACAGAGGGTACAAACTGAACAGCAATGAAACTCTCTAGCCCCGCTGAAAGAAAATTGTTGGTTTTTGTTCACCCCCCATGTGTGTTTGGAGAGGAGAACGAGAATTATTTGTTAGAAAAAAAGGGGATTTTTTGGCATTGTGGGTATCCTCTCTGGCTCCACAAGTTCCCCCTCATGGGTAGAGAGAGTGTTACAGGTTTAACTACAGGAAATTAAAGGCTAGTGGTCTTTTTCTGTGGGTTTCTTATTTTAAAAAGTTCACCTGCCAGCAGAAAATTGTGTGTGTGGATAATTGAGGGCACCTATCAAGAATTATCTCTTTTGAAAAGACCATTTGCCTCCCCTTCCTCCTGCTTGTTCATTACCATTTTGAGAAGATGCCAACCTTTTTGGTTGTGAAGCATTATACCGTCTCATTGAGAAAAATGGGAAGTGGTCCTTGCTTTGACAGTAGCTCTTTAGAAAAGAAGAATCAGAAATCACATAAGGGACTGGATTGTGTGGCTGCTTAATTCCTGCCAGAGAAAAATATAATGGAAGGTTATTCCATAGCTGCTGAAACAAAAACAGAGATACACAAAAACTGATCCTTAAATTTAAAAAAATATGTTGTTCAAGTGTAGCTACCCCAGGACCCCCAAATCTCCTCCCTCACCTCCTCTCACATCTTCTCCCTTTCAGTATGCTGTTACTCTTCCTGGCTCTGTCCTTGTTTTCTAAGCCTGTGTGACTGATGTTGGTCTTGCTCAGCAAGTTCTAAGGGTTTCTTGAGCAGGATTGGCCTGAACCTTGAAAAGCAGCTTGATATCATCACACTTGCTTACTCACCCAACTGGTGCAACCTGGCAAGAGCTTTAACACCCTCCCTTTAACGCCCAGAGGGTGGGCAGGCTGCATAGTGCAAGCAGTATGCACATCCCTGTGATCAGTCAAGATCGGTGAAGAAAGAAGACATCAGGCTGAAAGGGCAGGTGATGAATAAAATACTCTTATTTATTTCTTTGAACTCAGCCTGCTGCTTCTTAAACCACCTGCTTGTAGGTGGGGACACTGTGTTTGCTGCTGGAGACACTGGGGTAAATTCAGCTGCTGTTTGCTCCGAGCACAGACACAGCCCGTTGGGCTCAGGTCACGTTGCAGCAGATCAGCAAAAAATGCAGCGTGTTTTAAAATCCTACTTCCTGCTCAACATTTCTCTAACACTTGATCTAAGACTACAACAGTAAATAAAACAGTGCCAAGAAATGTTTCCTTGAACTGGAAAGGGCTCATTTATTCTGCTAAATTGTTAACATAGTTCCCAGCATAGTATTAGCCAACTCACACTCGTACAAACAACTCCCAGGCATGGTTTGGGAGGCAGCTCAGGCATCGCTCCTGATTTGAGGTTCAAGTCCTGCTACGCAGCTGCCCTGCTTGGAAGAGAAGCTTCATGTTATGGCATGTGTCACCCTCTGCCAGCTGACCTCGATGCCAGCTAATAGTCCTGGGCATATTTAACCTACCAGAGTCAACACACTCATGATGGCTAAGTGCTTTCGGATTGCCCCAGTGCAGTAATAGACGCAGCTCCCCCTTCAGATCACTTCCCACCTGGCTATAAGCTCTGAAAACTGCTGCAGTCTTCACCTCCTGCTCTCTGGAAGTGATTAAACTTCTCTGCAACTCCATTCCAAACTCAAAGATGGAACATAGCAGCGCTGGATGCACCTAGTGCATGCAGGGTAGGAAGGAAAGAAGAGAAGAATACTAGGAGGAAACAAAACTGGCACACAGATGAAACAGAAACAGGGCCTGAGGTATCTTGACCTGTCTCCTTCCTGTGTTAAACTCCTTGCCAAAGCAAGGGAACTCCTTTACCAGTTCTCAGAAGAGGAGGCAACACTCCAAGTGGAAACTTTCAGCTTGCCTTTACAGCTTTAGGAGAAAACGTGCTTAACAGAGAACAGGTTGTAGTCGTTTTGAAAGAAGTATACCCAGACCCAGGTGTTCAGGAAGCTCAACAGGCTGCTGTTGCAAAAGCTCTTCCTTCTAAGTGTGTTCTCAGTGCAACAGAAAGTGAAAAAGCATGTCACAACATTAGGCTGGGCCCACAAAAACGGTGTTCTCCTTCTCAACTCCTTCAGCAGCCCTAAGGTAACCCGTGATCACAAGACAGTGCTGTAATGTGCAAGTGCCAGGGGTAAAGTTAATGTGTGCCATTATTTATTACAGGCACGTATACAATACCTATATGCACAGCAACACTTTATACCACTTGGATTACCAGCAGTAACTATTCCCTGATAACACTGAAACTTTATCAGGATAGAAATGGGGATTTTTTTTCCTGGCTGGGTGAACACAGAGGGCATTCAAACTTCCAGGTAGTGAAAAGCTGAGGAAAAGGTGCCCTATTGCATTCCTCAGTAACAGGCTTTAGCTTAGACATGTTTTGTAAATGAAAGTTTGGTCCTAGATGACCTTTTAAAGACCAGTTCTTCACCAGTCTCAAGTATCAGTGACAAATTATTTGGAGCAGCTTAAATCTTAAAACCCTGAAGACTCAGAGCATGATTCTCCTTGTATGCATCTTGAGAAAACCACTCACACTCCAGGGAGGGACTTTCCAAGCAACTGAGTTTTGCACCCACTTCATGCTGATGAAAAGAAACACGTGGTTTGTGAAATGCAAGACAGGCCCTCAGCACCTGAAAACCCCTCCAGTCTTTTGCCTTGCAGACTTTGCCTGGCTCACCACTTGCAGGGCAGCAGCAGAGGCTGCACTACCTAGAGCAAACCTTCACCCAGCTGAATACAGTTAACTGAACTAGTTATCGAAATTCAAGTTGTATCTAAAACTGTGATACTGAAGAGACAGCTGCTACCTTGCACACTGGAGATGCTCCCAGTATCAAGGTGCTGGGACTGTAAACTTTTCCAGGACACCTATGAGCTGTGCCCCAGGTATGTGGTCACAGTGGGGGAACTCAACTCCTCCTCAGGCTTCAGCCAGGCAGGGACCCTTTGGGAACCCCAATACAACCCCACAGGGCCAGGGCTCCCCCAGAGCTGTGCTTGCCATAAAATAGCTGCTCACTAGCAGGGAAATGCCTGGGAGTTCAAGGATGAAGTGGGGTAGCCTACATAAATTTCTCCTCATCCTGAAGACATTCCTCCTTTCCCCAGTGCCCCAATCTCGAGGTGTGACCTCCAGCTCACTTGAAATGGTATCACCCCACAGGAAGGAAACAAAGGCCATTGAATGGCTCAAGCGTGGGCAGAGAAGGGCAACGGAGCTGGGGCAGGGTCTGGAGCACAGGTCTGCTGGGGAGCGGCTGGGGGAACTGGGGGGGTTCAGTCTGGAGAAGAGGAGGCTGAGGGGAGACCTCCTGGCCCTCTGCAACTCCCTGCCAGGAGGGGGCAGAGAGGGGGGATGAGTCTCTGGAGCCAAGGAGCCAGCGCCAGGCCCCGAGGGAATGGCCTCAAGCTGCCCAGGGCAGGGTCAGGCTGGCTCTGAGGAAGGATTTCTGTGCAGAAGGGGCTGTTGGGCATTGGAATGGGCTGCCCAGGGCAGGGGGGAGTCCCCATCCCTGGGGGGGTTGAAGAGTCGGGCTGAGCCAGCGCTGAGGGATCTAGGGGAGTTGGGAACAGTCAGGGTGAGGGGTCATGGTTGGGCAGGAGGAGCTTCAAGGGCTTTTCCAACCTCGAGGATTCTGTGAAAACTCTCCCAACCAGAGAAGACACAAGACAGAGCACACACACCCACTAAGCGCTTGCCTGGAGAAGTCTGACCGCAGCTCCCCTTCCTGTGCCATCTCAAGCACGGGCCAGCCCCAGTTCTTTCCTCAGACATAAACATGTCAACAGCTAAACCAGAGCCATGTTCCTGTGTTGACTCTCTAGCCCAAGCAGGCCTGTGTCTCTGCAAGGACACAGCTGAGGAAGACTGGCCTCTCTGTCCCTGACAGCCTGACACTGGGTCCTGGCCCAGGGAGCTGCAAGAAGGGCTTTAAAGCGCTCAGCCCTGAAGGAACTGAATTTTCTCTCTGCATCCTGAGCACGTTTTCTAATCACTAGGGTATCACAGGAAATACGTCACCACTTCCCGTGGCCAAGGGGGGTTTTGATTTCTTGGTGTTGTTTTTTTTTATTTTTTATTTTTCAAGTGAGCTGTACTTAATTCCTTCAAAAGGAGACACATGCAGTTGCTTTCAGGTACCTTTGTGGCTCTGCATTCCCCACTGTGCTGGCTTTGGCTGGGGTAGAGTTAGTTTTCTTCATAGTAGTTAGTATGGGGCTCTGTTTTAGACAATACAGGGATGTTTCTGCTATTGTCGAGCAGTGCTTACACAGAGCCAAGGCCTTTTCTGCCTCTCACCTCACCCCACCAGCAAGAGGGCTGGGGGTGCACAAGGAGCAGGGGGGGACACACGACCTGGACAGCTGACCCAGGGGATATCCCATCCCACACAACATCA